GTGGAACTTGAAGCTGAAGTAAAAAATCGTGTACTTTTGAATCTGCCAGGCTGGGCTCGGAGGCCCGGAGCCGACATACTGGGCAAGACCAAATGACAAGACAAACGGGGGAGCAGAAACACCACAGAAAAACGCCGCGGGACCCTTGGAGCAAAGGTGGGCTTTGTCAGTTTTGCTTTGTTTTGATTTTCTTTTCTTTTATTTATTATTATTATTTTTTGGTATCTGGTCATTAGCACACCTACTGTTTGCCCACCTCTGTTCTGGTGACTAGAGGGGGGAGCCTGAGCAAGTGGACACCCCCCACCCTCACCACTGGTAAGTTCTTCTGCCACGCATGCGCACAGATACTCAGTCCAAGAGCAGGCCCTGAAGGATTTTGTTTGTTTGTCTTTTGTTTTTTTTTAAAGGGAAAGGGCAGGACAGGGCTATAGAGAGGGAAAGAGAATTTAAAAACAAAACAGGCCAAAAATTAAATTAAAGCCTGAGGTATAGCATAACAGCCAACACTGGCATCCTGAAATCTCTCAGGCAGCTTTGAAAGCAAGAAACTGAAGAGAGAACCTTAAAGTCAAACTCATAAATTACACAAGAAGAGTCAGCAACTGCTGCCATATAGGCAAGCTATAATCTCACTCTGTAAAACACCAAAACCCAGGCAAGAACCAATACCAATTACCATATACCTGGGAAACAGACAACTGTGAAAGTTACACTGAGTTAAGCAATAAGAAGAGTGAAAAGGGAAGCCCACATCCTGATCACATCTCCCTGGAAGCAAGCAGAAAGCATAAAAAATACCAAAACACATACTCAAGTATTAAGGCCACAGATAAATACTAATCATGTCCAAGAAGCAAAAGCAGATGACCATATCAGCACATGTCCAGAAACAAGATAAAATGTCTGAGACAAATAACCTAGAGGCAGACCTGGACTCCTTTCTGGATGGAGGGCAGGCCTTGGAAATGCCTGAGAAGGATGTCAGAAAATAGATTTTAAAATGTTTCAAAACACTTTACAATTGAGTTGAGAAAAATAAGGAAGAAGTCAGGAAAGTGCTACAGGAACAATCAAATAAGATAGATACAGCATTGGAAACAATTCAAAACCTACAGAAAGACCTCCAAATGATCAGTAACAGAATATCAGAAATAGACAATACTCTGAAAGGGTAAAGGAGTAGAATAGAAGAGATGGAAGGCAGAACCAGTGAACTGGAAGACAAATCTCTCAATACCACTAAGATAGAAGAACAAACACAAAAAAGGATAAAAACATCTAAAGAAAGTCTAAGATTCATGTTGGACAACATGAAGAGGAATAACTTAAGAATTATCGGCATTCCAGAACAAGAAGAATCATACAAGTCCACAGAGGAAATAGTTGAAGAACTACTGGAAGAAAATTTCTCTAACATCCTGAAAAGTGAAAAGATAAACATTCAAGAAGCTCAACGAACTCCAGAAAGGATAGACCCCAAAAGGAAATCACCAAGACATATCATTGTCAAGCTCTCCAAAATGAAAGACAAGGAGACACTTCTGAAAGCAGCCAGGGAAAACAGAAGTGTCACATACAAAGGCAAGGAAATCAGATTGAGCTCGGATCTCTCAGCAGAAACCATACAAGCAAGAAGGCAATGGAGAGACATAAAACCCTGAAAGAAAAAAATTGCCAACCAAGAATCTTTTATTCAGCAAAGCTATCAATCAAATATGATGGTGTAATCAAAACATTCCAGGATAAACAGAAACTAAGAGATTTTGCCAAAGCCAAGCCTGCCCTACAAAACATCCTAAAGGGAGTTCTGTGGACTGAGAACCAACAAGAACAGACAACAACCAGAGAATGATATATGTGGCAGCACCTCCTAAATCCACAGAAGGAAGAGTTGAGAACAGAACAAAACTATAAGATCAAGGAATGGGCTACTACATATTGATTAGGAGGAGTGGGAGGCCGACTAATCTTTTTTTTTTAAGTAATGAGGTGCAAGTGTGCAAGCTTCTTGGAAATGGAATGCCTTTTGCAGCTGTCAACTCTAGGTGCCATTTTTATGGGCCGTTTGTCACATTCCTCCTCTTTGTGACTAGTTGCTTTTCTCTACTGGGGTTTCAGGTCCTGATTTCTACTCCCTGTCTCCAGGCTATTCCTCTCAATGTTACTCTTCTTCTTGGACTAGAGATGTCTTCTCCTTTTCATTATCCCTGTCTAGAAGGAGAAAACTTAGGGCAAAGGGGCAGCATAAAGCCAGGGTAAGAGAGGCCTAGGGTCCAGGGATCCTAACCTGTCACTGACAAGACCACTGTTGTAAAAAGCTAAGAAAAAGTTTTCTTGATGAAAGAAACATTCTATAATGGTTACTTGGAGTGGAAGGGGAGAGTTGGTGGGGAGGGGGAATGGAGGGAAACTTACTCATGGGCTAGAGGGCAAAGATACTACCACAGATAGAAAAATTGTTGGAGCCATACAGGAAAACACTTTGTATGCTCAGATGTGCAGAAAAGTCAACCCCATTGTAGGGGAGAAAAGAGATCCCATCTTCAAATATATAAATGTTGTTGTTGTTGTTAGGTGCCATCAAATCGGTACCAACTCACAGTGACCCTATACACAACAGAACAAAACATTGAGTAGGATATCAATGTTTATGTGTTATATAGTTCATGTTTGACAATTTCCAATTTTCCTAGATTCATACTTCGTACATTCAATGTTCTGATTACCAATGGATGTTTACAGCTGTTTCTCTTCATTTTGAGTTGTGCCCCATCAGCAAATGAAGGTCCTGCAGGATTTACTCCTTCACATCATCATGGTCAACTGTGCTCTGAGGAAGCAGCTCTTCTCCAGTCATATTTTGAGTGTCTTCCAACCTGAGAGGCTCATCTTTTGGCCTCTCAGTCTTTTGCTGACGGTGTTCCACTGCTGTTCATAAGGCTTTCATTGACTAAATATTCAGAAGTAATCTGTCTCTCCTTCTTCCTAGTCTTTCTTAGTTGAAGCCCATCCACCATGGGTGACCCTGCTGATATTTAAAATACCTGTGGCATAGCTTCCAGAATCACAGCAACATGCAAACCACCACAGTATGACAAACTGACAGACAAGTGGTGGGTGAGTATTATAGAGACTCTTTATTAAGTGTTCAACAAGAGTGAAAACAAGACAAAGATGAAAATAGATCACCCAGATGAAAGAAATAATTGATGATGCCAGGATGAGCTTTCAGAGTTCTAGCTCCACATTTTACAGGGCACAAAGAACAAAGGAATTTCCTCCCACATCCACAAGTTGGGCTGACAGAAAGCAGGGAAAGCTGACAGATAACCTGTCTCTGAAGTCATCAGAGATGGTATGACATCACAACCAGATGACCATTATGGGATGTTTCCAGGAATGTTCCTGTGAAGGCAGGCTGAAAGAAGTGGCCCCAAACCCACTTTTTTTTTCTAAGTTTTTATTGTGAATTGAGTGGTAATTTACATGGGAGACCATCAGTTTTGCACTCATCCTATTGTAGTTCATTTCATTGCAGTGATTACAATCCCCTCCATGCACCATCCATCATTCAACAGTATTTGCTTCTATTTCTATTCCCTCTGGGTTTTTTTGGATGTACACCAAAATGCTAAGGAATATGCAATCATTCAAACACCCAAGGGCATACTCTGCAAGCCTGCCCCCCAGCTGCCAGCACACAGCCCCTCTCCGTTCATGAGTCTAGGTCCCCAGCCGCTCTATCTCTCCACATTATCATCTCTGTCTCCATCTCTGGCGTTGCTTCTTCTCTGAATAGGGTCCCACACTCCACTCCTGTTCTTCTCCCTTTATGGTCCCAGGGTCCTCTGCTCCTGGACTGCAAGATCAACCACTCCCCTCTTCCCAAACCTACTTTTAAATATACTCTACTCCTAACTCTGGCAGTTCAGTTGTTAGAGGTGCATGGGGTATTCAAGAAAAATTGGCATCTGAACACTTGAATTTAGGCACAAGATAGACTTAATCTCTGCCTGGCTGGAGAAAACAACAACCACACACACACACAAAAAAAAACCCTTCAGATTTCATGCTCTACAGCAGCCAGACAGACAAAATTGTATCATTCGCGACAACTACATGAGCTTGAATTTTTGGATTTCTGATAGCAACTTTGCTGATCTTTGGTTTTTCCTCTTGAGACACTTTAAGGTATGCCTTTCCTGTTCCGTCTTACCCTTGGCTGCCATTACGACTCCTTCTACTCACAGTAATTATCATTCCAGAAAATGACCAAAATCTAACCTTCTGGTCAAGACACTTTGATTTAGAGAGATATGACTACTTTCCCAAGAGAAACGGTGCTGTAAGTAGATATTGAATCTCACGGGCAGTTCCTAAAAATCCACTTAATCTATAAATACCCTTTGTTGTGGTTATTACGTGTCTTTGATTCATAGTGATCCTGTATAGGGTTTCTGAGGCTTCAAAGCTTTGTGGGAGCAGAAAGCCTCACCTTTCTCCTGAAGCCTCATCTTTCACCTATGGAGCAGTTGATAGGCTTCATCACTGACCATGTGAGTCGAAGTCCAGAGTTTATCCTACAGAGCCACCAACCTTCCCAAAGTACCCTTTGTTATTACATAAATTGCTAAATAGTTTTTTGTTTTTTTTTTGCTAAATAGTTTTTAACATGACTGATATGTGTCATTGTAAAGCAACAATCTAAAAGGCTATTCTGACAACTATGTGGGTACAGAGTTGGATTTCTCACACAAACACCGAATGGCATAAATCTGCTACCACTTGACTCTTTGGCAATCAGAAAGCTGAATATCAAAGAATAATAAAGCAAATGATAACAGCTATAATCATTTTTAACATTTGTAGACCAACTTTCCATTCTTGATCCTATTTATTGCTGATAACAAATTCAGATTAAGGAAGACTGAGACTCAGAGAGATGACATGACCTGGCCCAAAGAAGCATCAAACCCCCCGAGTGCCCAAGTTCTCACCTTCACCACTTTCAGCACCTTGATCTCTCGGTCCAGAATCAGCTCATCCTGGAAACATTTATCTCGCAGAAACTGCACAATTCTCTGCCAGGCATCCTGCATCTCCTTTTTCCGTTCCCACTGGGGCTGAAGGCTCTGACCCACGAAGGCATCCAGCCGGTCCGCGGGGGTCTCATACAGGTCCTGTGGGATGGGCTCCATCTCAGCAGTACTAGGGCACCCCTTTGGAATCAATGTTCTAGGCTCTGCCCAGCCCTTTTAAAGGGGCAGCTTAGTCTCTCTCCTGCAGGAAAAGGGCCAGAGAGAGGGGAAAGGAGGGTGTAGGTATACAGAAGGCTTTATTTTTCTCTCTTGGGGGGAAGAGAGGTCTGGGATTCCGTCCAGCAACGCACTGCTCCTCCCTCTCTGACGTTGTAAGCTCAGTAGCCATTACTTCAGTAAGATCCTCCTTCTTTCGTGACATTTGGAAACTGAAACTTAATTTTCATTGCTGGAACTTTCTATGTCAGCTTGTGGGTGCCAGAAAAAATGGCTGGGAGAGAAGGGTCTCCCAGGGGCTTCCCCACAGACTCTCAGCCTGGGAATTTCTCAGAATGTCTAGGACGTGGTCTCCTCCTGTCCCCATGTCCTGGTACATTGGAAAAGAAAGAGAGGGAGGGAGGGAAAAGAGAAATGAGGTGGAAGGAGGACAGGGAAAGAGAAAGGAGGGAGGGGGAGACAAACACACACAGCACAACACTCTTAGAGACAGACACACATGCACATATATTCAGAGGGACAGAGCAGCGGAGGGCATGAGAGGATGGCAGGAAAGAAAGGAGGGTAAGAGAGGGTCAGGGTGGAGAGCCGAGGGGTGGCTGAAGAGAAGCTCCCTTTGGTCCTGACCCAAGCTCCTAAGCACTACCCCCAAGACCAGCTGCTGCTCCTGTCCTTGGCTCCTGGTCCTACCTGAACTATCATGGCAAGTGTCTCCTCCATGGCCCTGGGCACTTTTCTGCTCCTTCTAGGAGAGCAGGTGACATCTGCTGTCCCCTGCACCCTGGATTGCACAGACCTTAGTGAGTTAGGGATCGGGGTCAGCTTCTTCATCAATCCAGGGCCCAGCCCACACCAGGTACTGTGGTGGGGCAGGGGTGGAGTGCAAGGGAAAGCCAGCCAATTGATGCCCTAAAGGCCAAAAAGAAGGTGTGCAGGGAGTGTGGGACATTTGGGATAGAGCCCAAGAGCAGAGAGGGACAGAGTCAGAAGCCAGAGCAACTTGTAAAAGCTTCCTGTAGTTGCTATAACAAGTTACCAAAAACTGTGGTTTAAAACATCAGAAATTTGCTCTCTCACAGTTCCAGAGCCCAGGGGTCTGAAATGAGCATCAAAAATCAGGCTTCAGCAGGACCTCACTGCTTCCAGAGGCTCTAGTGGAGAATCCAGCCCTTAGCTCTTTGGGTTTTTAATGGCTGCCTGCATTCCTTGGCTTGCGGCCACATCACCCCAATCTACACAGCGAGCATCTTCAAATATCCTTCTGCTTATCTTCACATCACTTTCTCCTGTATATTACTGTGTTAGGGCAAGGAAACAGGAGAATTTTTGGCCTCCTCCAAATACAAAGGACAGGTGGGGCAGGATACAAGCATGATAAGAAACTGTTTAATGAGCAGAAAGAGATCAGCATTTGCTTGGGAGTGCCCTCTGGACACCAGTGCCCACTGGAACCCAGCTGGGCCTGTGAACCCTGTCTCCCAATTCAGCTACCTAGCTGGGGTTTTTAACCATCAGCTAGCTGTTAACCTCCACCTTAAGCAGGTATGAATACACCTTAAACTGTGAGCACGGCATACGTCCCTTGCATGTATTCTTTTTCCATACCCTAGTAAACCTCTTTTATATTATAGTTCGTAACTTTCTAGCCTTCTGTAGCCTGATATCAGTCTGCTGGTGACTCTGCTGTGGGATATTTGGGGCTATGTCTTCATTTTTGGAGCACCCCGGGATGACATTAAAATAAGCAGCTGTTGAAACCCTTTTGTTTGGATTACTTGGCATTGGCTAGGCAGACTGCCTGTCCAGGCATCCCCTGAGAACTTTTTTCTTCTATGGACTTGAATCATTTCATCTTCTGTCTTTTTGCTGTCTACCTCTTCAATTTTTTTCAGTGGACTCTGGTAGCATAGTGGTTACGAACCGGGCTGCGAGCCGCAAGGTCAGTAGTTCAAAAACACCAGCTGTTCCGCAGGAGAAAGATGAGGCTTTCTGCTCCCGTAAAGATTTATAGCCTCAGAAATCTTGTACAGGGTCGTTATGAGTCGGAACCAACTCCACGGCACATAACAATAACAACAACAACAACAACAACAACTGTAGTACATGGAAAGACTCTATTCCTGTTCTTTCTGTACACTTTCCTCTATGTTTTCCTTTGTCTTTGAAGTCCCTATGAGGGGTTCAAGTCCCCAGGGCTGCTAGTTGGAAGACTTAATTCCTGCATGAGTGGTTCAAGTCCCCAAGAACGAGGACTAGGCATGGGATTAATCACCCTGCTAAGGATCCTTGTCTGGGCACTCCCCAAAACAGGGACTGGCCTCAGTGAAGGGTTTGAGTCCCCAAGACCGACTGGAAGTCATCTCTTCTGTCTTTCTTATTTTCCTAAGGCTGAAGTTGTTGTATATTTTCTCTCACATCTATCATTCTTCGACTTCCCTCTGGTCAGTTTCTAGAGCTATCCCAGCCAACTTTTATCTTTTTCTGCTCATTAAATGGTTGGAGGAGAATATTGAAAGTGCCATGCATGGGCTGTCAAAAGAACCAATAGATCCGTTTTGGAAGAAGTGTAATCAGAGTGCTCCTTGGAGGCCAAGATGGCCAAACTTTGTCTCTCATACTTCAGATATATTGTCAGGAGGGACCAGTCATTGGAGAAGGATATCATGTTTGGTAAGATGGAGGGTCAGAGAAAAAAAAGGAAGATCCACCCCCAATGAGATGTAGTAGCCAAGTGGCAGCATCGATGGACTCAAGCGTGGCAACAGTAGTGAGGTTGGCCCAGAATTGGGCAGTGTTTCGTTCTGCTGTGCATAAGTTCGCTATGGGTGGGTAACAACTCGATGGCACCTAACAACAACAACAAGACCCTTCTACCCTTGGAAACTTTACTTGTTCTCTCTGCTTATCAATCTTTACTTGTTTGGACCTCTCAGACACTTGGTGCTGAGAAAAATATTCTCTTGATTGGTTTCTAAGAGTTTTTCTCTTCCACACTTGAGTGTGAAAACACTGAACATCACTCTGACCCTTAATAATTCTTTCTTCCCTGAATTAAACAGATGTCAAAGACGTATTCTTGGGCCCCTTGTGGGATGTCATTTAACTCTTGGACTGTCATCTTAGCCTCTGTGTTGGGTGGGCACTGTGCGTGGATCAGTCCCTTTCTGGCCCTCAGATCCTATACCTCATCTCCCCACTTAGCACAGTTTGAAAGGGAGTACTCCCCCTACTGGTTTCTGAGAGCACTTGCTTTCCTTGCTCACAAGTGCCAGCATAGTAAAGACTGTTTTGACCCAATTGTGATCCAGCTGGGGGTCAGATTAGCCTTTGCCACAGGGAGGTGAGGCCATCTATTTTCTCCCCTGGACCTCCTAAACCAGAGAGTTTTGAAAAGTTATTAACTTATGGAACATAGACAAGTGGGGGCTTACAACCATCTGCCCATGGCCCTGTTATTATTGGCCACCACTTGTAGAAGGGACAGCCCACCTGTTCAAACCTCAAGCATACTCAAAGACTTCCCTCTAGGCTGCTTGCTAACTCATTGTGGAGAGTTTCCAGCAGAGGAAATTATGAAAAAGAAACTAATCTTCTTTTGTAATGCTGCCTGACTCCAGTACACACTTGGAGACCAAGAACAATGGCTCATTAAATGGGCCCCTCTTTTTTAATACCATTTTACAGTGAGATCTCTTGCAAGAGAGAGAGAAAATGAGGAGAGATCCTTATGTACAATGCTTTTTGGCTTTATATCAAAACCCTGGAGGGAGAAAAGACTGGAGAAAGACACAGCCACTATGAAATCAAAGGGAAAGATCCCCTCTAGGTATTTGTTTTAAATCTGAAACAGCCTGAAGACATCATTGATGATCTGCCTTAAAAGGGGGGGGCGGGGATGAGGGGGGGCAGGTGTGTGTTCTGCCCTTGATCGTACTCCCACCTTCTACTTGGACTCCTCTATCCAGCACACACTTATGAAGTTCAGCCTATGACTAACTTCGCCCCACCGCCTGTAAGTTCTTGCTTGCTTTTACCCACTGCTTCCCTTCCAGCCTACCTCCAACTCTGACCCCTCTCCAGTGGGTCCATAAAAGCCATAAACTCCCCAATGCTTCAGGGCCAGGCTTATACCTGAGAGTAGTCCCTGGGGCAAAGGAAGCCAGCTGCCATTGGAGTACATGTCCCCTTTTCCACATCTGATTAGGGACAGTGAAAAGAGAATCTAGGTAGTGTGTCAATAGATCTTCAGAAATTTAGAGACCAACTCCAAAGGCTGTCTCTCTTTCCTGGAGGGACATGGAAACAATATTGACATTTATTGCACCATTAGAAATTTGAAAACTGGCTGTTTACTTCATGATGTTAAAAATGTTAATTTTTTTAGACAGAATGATCGGATATAGTTTTTTAAAGATACCTTATCTTTCTCATTAACATACTAAAATATTTACAAATAATAGACATAACTTAGATGTTTCCTTTAAAATAATATATGGAAATAGATAAAATAAAATTGACTATGAGTTGACAATGTTGCTAGGTGATAGAACCAAGGAGATTCATTATGCAATACCTTCTACTTTATATACATTTGAAATACAAGGTTTTTGTTTTTCAAAAATGAGGCAATTCTACTATTGTAAAATAGACACTTGAGGGGGATGGAAAGGAATATCTATCTCTATTGGGAAACATGATTATAGAAAGCTTGTAAGCCCATATTCAGCCTATACCTGATTGGAATACCTGAAAGGGAAGGGGTTCTAGAACTTGCCCACTTGCCTGGTGAAATAGGCTTCTTGCGGAGCCTTTGTAATGTATAGGACCTCAGGTGGAATCCTGAGCCCCATCCAGAACCTTCAGAGGTTGGATATTACCATTTGAAAGGACAAGCAGACCAGCCTGGAGCACCTAGAGAAACAGAA